ATGGAACAGACTGGCAAAACTCAGAGGGAAGGGGGAAGGCAGGGGTCTGAGAAGAGATTAACCAAAGAATTTATCTGCATTTATGTATAACCCATGGACAGAAACAATACTGCAATGAAGGCCTGGGGGCGGGGTGGGGGGAGGGAGCCAAGAGAGTGGAAATGTGATGGAGAAGGCCAATGGGGGAAAATAGGGACATCTGTAATACTTTCAACAAAAAAAGATAAACTTAAACTTAAAAACAACAAGCCAGTGGATGATGCTGTTCACTCCCTCCACAGTCCTACTGATTTTTAGGCTACCAGTTCTGTTGATCGGCAAGAGGAAATATGTTGAAGTCTCCAACTGTAACTGAAGATTTCCCATTTCTTCAGTTCTTTCAGCTTTTACTTTATGTATTTTGAAATTCTATAGGTTTTTCCATGTCTGAGTGAATTAATCCTTTTGTCATTATAATGTCCTTCTTGATCCCTTGCTAGTTTCTTTATTCTGCAGTCTGCTTTCTCTAACGTTATTAATAGTCTCCTTTTGATTAGTGTTTGCATGATCATTTATTCCTCAACCCTTTTGCTTTTAAGCCCCCTGTTCACAGCATTAGGTGGGCTCCTTGCAGGCAGTGTTTAGTTGGGTCTTGCTTGGTTTACCCATTCCGATTATATCTTTGATTATTATGATTACGTCAGTGACATTTAATATAATTACTGGTGCATCTGAATTTAGGTCTACTGTTTCCAATCCGTTACTGAGTCCACCTAGTGAGTTTTTTGTGGTGCTAATTGTATTATTCATTTCTAAATTTTCCACTTGGTTTTCCTTTATACTTTCTCTTATCTTTCTTTGCTGAGACTTTCTATCTTACCATTTATGGCAATAGTGCCACCCTTGCTTCCTGAAGCATTTTTATATTTAAAGTATTTGATAAATCCAATACCCATGCTACCTTGGCAACAGGGTCTGTTGATTTGTGTTTTCCCATGAAAGTTGAGATTTTCCTTGTTTATCCTATGCCACGTAATTCTGGCTTACATCTTGATTATTTTGAAGATTATGTTATAAGACTCTGGGTTACCTTTAAATATTACAGAAGAATGTTGAGATTTTTGTTGAAGCTGGAAGTTAACCTGGTTCTGTTCAAAGCCAAACGCTATGACCTGTCCTTCGAGGGCTATGGTTCCAGTGCTAGTTCAGCTTTCAAAGCCCTGGCCAAGCCACTGGGTTGGTACTGCATGTCCCTCCAGTGGCTGGTCTGGGAGCTGGGCAGTAACCTACCGTCTTAGTCAGTCAATCCTCAGATTTTTCCATATGCTGTTTAGGGTCAGATTCATGCATGCACATGTGGGGTGAGCACAAGACTTCACAAAAGACTGCAGGTCATGCTCCTGAGTTCCTCCTCCATGATACTTTTGAGGTCCCCAGGGCTCCCGTTTATAATCCTTCAACCAGAAAGCTGGTTCATTATTTACCCTGTTCTGCCAGCATTGCTGCCTCAGGTCCAGCTCCCATGGTCTCTTCTGGGTTGTAGCAACTGCTGATCCTGGCAGGTGTCCCTGCCTGGCCTCCTCCTCTTTTCTAATCTGTGAGAGATGTTTACCAACTGAATCTCCCAACGCATTGGAAATATCAGCTGATTCTGCTCACTTCTGCCTCAGGATAAGGCCCAGGGCTCCTCTCATCCCCAGCCAAGCCACCTTCCGCCTTCTTGCCCACGCCGCCTAGATTCCTATGTCTCTGAGACCTTCTGCAACCATCTCAGGGCTTCCATCCTCAGCCTATCAGTTGTCAATTAGCTACCTGTACCTTGCATGGAAGAGAAATCTTTATGTACAAAATATATATATTCCTTCTATAAGCCAGAAGTAGTCATACTTAAAAAAAAAAAAAAAAAAAAAAAAAAAAAAAAAGGATTTCTTGCATACCGGAGACATACCAGAAAACAATCCCAAATCAGTTATTTGCCTGCTTCTTCATGTCCCTTCCTTTGGCCAAAGATGCCAAAAATGCCATGGAAGATGCTGAAAGGTAATTCCTTCCTGCCAGAGTCACCTGGCTTTCTAAACAAAGAGCTCTTAAGCACTGCTGCCCTATGTGGTCTTTTCACAAACCCCTCATCCATGTGACAGTGACATCGCGGGTCACGTGTTCTGTAGCTGGGCTCAAAGATGCAGGAGGTGCGGTTCCTTGCTAAGGAAGTTACACTGTTTAGACCTCGGGATTTTTATCTCTCTTTTTTGAAAATATATTTTTATTAATTTCAGAGAGGAAGGGAGAGGGAGAGAAAGGGAGAAAAACTTCAATGATGAGAGAGAATCATGGATCAGCTGCTTCCTGCATGCCTCCTACTAGGGATGGAGCCTGCAACCTGAGCATGTGCCCTGACCAGGAAGTGAAGTGTCAACCACTGAGCCACATAGGCTGACCCAGGGATTTTTTAATGCAACGTGGGTTGTCTTAGTTTTGAAAAGCACTGTCATAACTATAGATATATCACACTTTAGCACAAACCAGTCCTTTTTACATACTAGACAAGGCTCTGGAGCATATCCTCTGGCACATTTGACTCTACAGTTCCCATGAAACGAAAACTCGTCCCACTGAAATCTGACTGTTCCGATCCGCCTTTCCAAAGAACTTTCCAGTATGTTTTTTCCCCCCATTTTGAGGTGACTTTTAATTTTGATAAGTTTTCAGAATTACAAAAAAGTTGCTAGAATAAGGACTCTCTTTTTATCCATATATTTTACCCAGATTCATTAATCCTCTATATTGTGTACCATTTACTTTGTCATCCTCTCTCTCCTTTCCTAAACTTATAAAAATATTTTTAAAAATAAAAATTGCATTTCCCTAGCCAGTTTGGCTCAGTGGGTAAGAGCATAGGCCTGCAGACTGAGGGGTGCTGGGTTTGATTCTGGTCACAGGCACATACTTTGGTTGTAGGATCCGGCCCTGGTTGGGGGCATGTGGGTGGCAACCAATCACTGTGTCTCTCTCACATCAGTGTTTCTCTCTGTCTCTCCCTCTCCCTTCCACTCTCTCTAAAAATCAATGGAAAAAATACCATCAGGTGAGGATTAAAATAAAAAATCCATCTATTTAAGGTGGACAACATGATTTGCTATACATGCACACCAGTGAAAGAACTACTGTAATCAAGCTAATGAACATACCATCTCCTCATGTAATCCTTTTTGGGGTGTGATGAGAGCACCTGAAATCTACTCTGTTCGAATATTTCAGGAATTCAATACAATACCACTAACTACAGCCCTCACGCCTGCGCAGTAGATTGCTAGACCTGTTCACCAGCTCCCCGCTCTTGCCTTGATTTTCGTTGCACAAAGACAACAAGAGGGAGAGTCTACTCCACAGCCATTCCATAAGGTTGGACATTACACCACTTGAAACTGTGACTAAAAATAACTCCTATTTCTCTCAACCAAAAGTACAGGGGGAACATGGACCAGTGGTATGAAAAATTGAAGAAGAATTGTCCCACTACAGGAAATTTTCTGCTAAAAGCAATTGTCAGTAGTCACTAGAGTGGGTTTTGTGGGGGAGTGTGGGGCTGTGACTTGCACATTGGGAGTGAAGACGGAGGTGCTGCGTTTTCCGAGGGGGTGAGTTCTTCCTGGAGGCCAATGTGAGCCCAAGACTGACACTGCTTCCTCCAGCCAGAGCGCAGGGGGCTCCGACAGTCACGAGAGTTCTTAAATCAACGTTATCTCCTGAGAAGGAAAACCCATTACTACCAGTAAAACTTTATCTTCTAGGAAAGAGGGCTAATAGACCTAAAAGATGGGATTTCATCTTGCTTTAATTAGACCATTAAAATGGACTCCCCTGAACTCTGGAATGGATTTGCCGACCCCCAATTTCCATTATTCGCCAAAGCAGGCAGTAAATATTGAAAAGAGGTTGATAACGGTGACGTTCTTAGAACTAAATGGAGGCCTTGGAGTCTGTGTTGTTATTCTTCTCGCTCCCACTTAACTGTCTTCCCTACATAACAAGCCCAGGCCAAGTTCTCCCCAAGGGCAACTGTCAGAGAAGTATCCTTTCAGCGCTGATTACTGCATGAAAATTAAGGAGAAGAAGCTGCCAATTCTAGACTGAAGACAAGAATTTGATCTGCACCAAGAGCTCCAACTAGGTGTCAACGTTTTTGAATCCCCTGCTGCTATTTAGCAGTATTTGCAATGCAAATTTTCAGAAGCATTCTTGGGAAAATTACTAACTTCGCTCCATCCCAGAATTCCTGCTTTCTGAAAAAGGGTCCCCAAGATAATTTTTTAAATAAATCAGACCTACGGGCTTCTCTTAACACTTGCAAGTTTAATCAGTAACTCTCAGAAGACAGAGGGCCAGCCCTCTACCAGAACCCCTAAAATCATATCATTGGCGTGGTTCTTTCTGTTTTGTTTTTTTTTAATAACTTCAATTCTTTTTTAAAGATTTTTAAAACTGATTTTTTCAGAGGAAGGGAGGGAGGGAGAGGGGGAGAGAGAAACATCAATGTAATGTCAGAGTGTCTCCCACACGCCCCCTACAGGACGGTAATGGAGCCTACAATCCAGGCAGGTGCCCTGACCTGGAATGGAACTGGCAACCTTTCTGTGCAGCGGAAGATGCCCAACCAACTGAGCCAGATCAGCCAGGGCTGGGGTGGTTCTTTCTGATCAACCTTCCACCAGGACATTATGCAGCCAAGCTCTCTGCATCCTCTTCTCCCATCTAATGCCATACACGGAACTGGTTCATTTCTTCACCTTCCCACCAGCAGCGAAATTTAAGTCCCAGACTCCCACACTAAAGGTTAAAAGTGGGCCCTCGCCGGCCACCCATTCAGGATCAGCCTCATTACTTCTGAGGCTGTTGTGGCCTCGATCACACTCAGGCTCTCCCATTCCACATTCCCCCATTTCGTAAATAAGGAGGAAGCAAAGGGGTGAAGAAAGGTTCCATAGATTAGCCCGTTTTAAGCTTCTAAAGAATGTTGGGGGCTGCTTTGGCGGCACATAGACTAAAATTGAAACGACACAGACAGGATTAGCACGGCCTCCTTACGCAAGGATGACACGCAAATTCACGAAGTGTTCCATGGTGTAGAAAAAAAAAAAAATGTTGGCAGACTCCTAATTTCTCCATAAAAAGAAAAACAGTCATTTTAACTCTCTGTTCTATAACAATCTTTCAGGACTTCCATCCAATGAAATGAAATACCAGTGGAGGCACACACACATCCTTCCCACGGCGCCTCAGAGCCGGAGAGGAAATGAAGAGACTCCACGGGCTCGGCAGTGACTGGACCTCCCTGATGGTCTCACGTGCTCCACCTGACCCTGCTCTTCCCCCGAGGACCTGGGGTGCCATCGGGAGTCAGTGACACGGGCTCCCTCGGACAGTGGCCCTGGGAAGCAGCCCCTCCCCTGGCTTAGGGAAGGGAGGCACAACAGGTAGACGCCTGATGTACCCCCTCCAAAGGGCTCGCCTGGATTCCGGGTGACAGAGCAAGAGGCATGAAGCTGGAGAGAGCAATTAAGCCCCAGCGCAGCTGGCCAGAGCCCATAAGCACCCCGAGTCATAGCAGGGTGGGGTTGGGGTGAGCCGGAGTAATTAGAGAGGGTTTCATGAAAAAGCACAGCACAGCCCTCAGTTAAAGGAGGAGGCACCATTCGCTGTGAGAAGACATGGGAGCTTCCAGGCAGGAGAGAAGATGCATCAGTGGTCAGTCCCCCTGATTTCTGCTTTCAGGACAGTGAAGCCCCAGCTCCAAAATTCTACATCATCACAACATTTCTCCTCCGAAGCCATTTGTGGGGATAGAACACGAGGTGCCTGGCACCAGGGAGAGCACTTCTGATAGCTGTCTATACCCGCAGTCCCTGGTGACCCAGGTGTGGCTCCATCAAAAGGAGGAATTCGCTTTGGGGCATTATTTATTTTATTAAATATATTTTAATGATTTTTTAGAGAGTGGGATAGAGAGTTAGAAACATCGATGAGAGAGAAACATCGATCAGCTGCCTCCTGCACACCCCCCACCGGGGATGTGCTACAACCAAGGTACATGCCTTTGATTGAAATCAAACCCGGGACCCTTTAGTCCGCAGGCCAACGCTCTTTCCACTGAGCCAAACCGGTTTTGGCATTTTGGGGCATTATTTAAAGCACTCGGCGTATATTCTAGTATGTTGATTTCTGTATTTCTCTCTATTTAAGATTTCAAAACCTTTACAATGTTAACTTCCTAAAACAAAAGCCAACTTCCTAACATTCTACCAGTTGGTAGTGGGCCTGCATCTAAGGAGGCCCTCTGCTAGCCTCTCCAGAGTGTCCCCTCTGCCGCCGCTGAAGACGCCCTGTGTCCTGAGATTAACTTGCCTGCCAGCATCCCCGGCAGACCCTGCTCAGGGCTCTCCAGGCTGGGATGCAGAAGCCTTAAACCACAGCTCCCCAGCCTCTTTGCCACCCACCCCTAGCACTTCATTTAAAATTGGGCCTGTGCATGGACCCTGGGCGCGGCATCTGTGTTTGTCAAAGCTCCATAGCTGATTCTCTACACTAGGGGTGTCGAACTCAATCAGAGAAGGGGCCAAAATCTAAAATCCAGCCTAAATCGCGGGCCGAATGGTTTACTGAACAGTCATAAACTGTCATTGTGATGGAAACACAGCAGAGTGCAGTGATGACAGCGCGGTGCGGGCCACATTGCAAGGCCTGGCGGGACGGATTTGGCCCGCGGGCCTTGTGTTTGACACATGTGCTCTACACAGCAAGAGATATGAACCCCAGTCCGTGCTAAACCAAGCCATTTCCTAAGAACTCTGCTGGGTTAGGGCTCTCTCTTGGCTCATTAGCAGTACCTGCTACTAACCAAAACCAAACTCAAAGGTAAACACAGGAAAAGCCAAGTTCCATGCTGGGGGACGAGGGGGAGGATGCAGGGAGAAGTTGAGGAGGTAGAAGACTGTGGACATGCACAAGGTATAAATTCCCACCAGCCTCGCCTGCTTCCTCCCATCCCTAACTCCAAATTCCTGGAAGTGGCTCCCAGGTCTCATCATGTTTGATAGACAGTTTTTAAATTTCCACTTCTAAACATTAATTTAAAACCATAACATCATGCAATGCAGTTAACTAATGTTTTAAAATCAAGCAACCCTTGTTTCTTCTCAGAGGACTTTATTATGTGGTTGGGGCCTCCACAATGGGATTGCAAGGACTTGTTAGAATGTGCATCCAGGGCAGGAGTCATTTGCCTCTGACTTCATTAAACCTAAGTTCTTTAGAAGTTTTACAAGCTTGACAAATGTATTTTATGATATTATTTTATGACCTAGAACAAAACCAACGCATGCATGATCGGCAAAGAATTGGAAACCTTCCTATTGTGACTCATTCATACTATTGGCCCTGAATCAGTGATGTTCAAAGGTGAAGAAAAATAATGGAACTTCCTTTAGAAAGAGAAGAAAAATAACAATCAGATCTCTCCCATGATTGTGCATGTTTACTCTGTGATCCGCATTCCAACAGACTGAAATATGAATGGATCCACTTAACACATAGCTACGTTTTGAGTCATATCAAATACATGCTATGTCATGGATGAACCCTGAACAAAGATGCATGCTAAGAAAGTAAGCCAATCATAAAAGCACAACTATTGGATGATTGCACCTCTATGAAATATCTAGAATAAGCAAATTCACAGAGACAGAAAGGAGCTGGGGTACAGAGTTTCTGTTTGGGTTTTTAAAAAATGCTTTGAAAATAGATGGTGGTGGTGGTAGTACAACATGGTGAAGGTAATGAACGCCATCAAATTATACACTTAAAAATGGGCAGCATGGCCAATTTTATGTGACATATAGTTTACCACAATAACATAACTAAAAATAAAATCATATCAAAATACTACTTGGCTAGAAATCAATGGCCTAATATCCATAGCAGAAAGTCCTGAAACCAACTAACACAATGCCTCCCGTGTCAGATGGCCTGGCCTCCTGACCTGGGCGCCCGTGGTCTCTAACAGTTCTGGGGAAGTTTCCTGTGTACAGAGAGGGACAAGACTAACCCATGGACTTGACCATCACCCATCCTGTCTCTTTGGCCAACGTACTGGACTCCTATTTATTTAACAGCTGCTCACTGGCCACTGTAATCACCAACTGATTAGGGCTGCATTGTTTGGCCATGTTCACAGTCATCACGGCTGTCAATGATGAGCGCTTTGTTTTCAGTTCTATAAACACATGAGCAATCCTCATGTCATCAGCTACTTAAACGGAATAAATACTTTAGGCCATGCCTTCTCAACAGGAGCAAGAGCCAAGGAGATTCCTTCTTAGGGACAAAGAACACCTAAGATATGACAATGGTTTATGGTCCTCCACAGGGGCACAGTCTATAAGAGAAATGCAGAATGTCTTTGGGATTAAAATTTGAGGGGAGGGAGGGGATGGTTAAGTACAATAAAAGTGCTCCCTGAAAGGATGATTATGGGGAAAAAAGGTTAACAGATATGGCTTTATAGCCTTTAATTAAATTTTTCCTTAAACCAAAAATAAAGAAAAAAACAGCTGAAAGGGAAAGGGGGAAAAAAACTTATGAAAAGAAGTTGTCATTAGAGACCAATGTGGGCATTGCTGCAGGCCTCCCTCCAGTCTCCCCAGCATAACGTGCACCCATAGGTGAGGGGCCTTACCCTCCATTTCGCCCCAAATCTCTACTTTTCCTAAGACCAGCATATGCGTCTAATCATGCAGGCAGTCGCGGATGTTGGTTAAGTACCAGGCACTCTGCTAGGCCCATTTGGCAAGACCTGCCTTGCCCAAACAGACAGAGCCCTGCATACGCCAGGAAAGGAGGAAGCCTTGACCCCTCACTTTGACAGCTTTGAAGAGAAGCAGCAGGCAGTAGACCAGTGAAGCCAGGAAATCAGGTTTGAGGCCAGGTAGCATTGGCTCTTATCAAACAAGCAACTTGGTGCAAGTGATCAAGTGATTTGACCTCTGGGAAAAAGAGATAGTGATGTGTTCCTTACAAGGATGCAGTGAGAACCAAGCAAGAAATGACAATAGACAGGCGTCCCTTGCAAGCTCAAGTCACTGCTGATAAAGCCTTTTCAAATGAAATAATAGAACAAACAGAAAGTACACAGCTATCTGTCATGATTTCCATTCGTGGATACTGTGTACCAATACCCTCAGCCTCCTGACAGGGCCCCACAACTCTCTAGGAAGGAGGGCAAGCACTCGCTTCAAGGTCTTACAGAGAAGAGGCTCCGGCAGGTCAGGTGCAAAGCCCCGCCTGGAACAGTAGACGGGAGCTGCAGCAGGCAGGGTTTCCCAGTCAATGAAGAATTTCAGCTATGTGCATCCCTCTTTTCTTATCGAGCCAAGAAGAGAGGGACTCATGCTGGGTGCCCAAGGACACACTGAACTTACTTCCCACATACTTGAACTAATAAGCAGACAAAGAAGTTGGCTGCCTTTGGGGTATGGGGCCCTAGAAGGAACAGCTTTGAAAACTATGCCTCTCCCCAGCTTGCTGAAACTTTTTCAGTGAGTACATGTTTCCATTCCAGGTAAAGTTCCAGCATATATCCCCTAGGACCAGGTGCTAATAAAGCTTTCACTCCAGAGCCCCTCACTCTCCCAAGTTCCTTTCCCAAAGGTTGGCAGGGAGGCCTGGTAATGCGTTCTCATGGTACTATGTTTTCATGCAATTTGCAAAAGGAAGATACTGTAAGAGCAATCACTGAAGACATGATCCCTTTCCACGCTGCTTCCTTCCATCACACTTTGACACATGGCAGGTGGTAGGATGATTATGGGCCATTGGGGGAGCCAATAGGAAAGGGAAGTGGGGGTTTAGTGGGATATTTTTACCTGGTTTGTCATCTCTGTGTGTGCAGTTAGGTCTTTGCTGGAGATCCTGATGAAAGAACGATTCCCTGGAGTATAACTCCCAGTGCAACAACCCTCCAACTGCGAGACCTCAGTGAGGCCCAGCAGTTACACTGCAGTCTGAACAGGTCCTAAGTGTGAAGCAAGTATGTGAACAGGAGGAAAACCAGCACTTTAGATGCTAAGAACAG